GACCCCGTAGGACATTGTTGTCTCGATCGGCCCAAATTTCGCCCCCACCCTTTTGGACATCTCTGGATCCGCCCCAGGGGAGTGGATAATGCGAGGTGCAAAGCACCGAAATGGGAGGGGGGAGGTGGTGTAGTTTTGGAAGGGGGAATAATCCTCCTCCCATTTCATATTTTGTTTTCGGAAATGGCATCTGAAAAGCTTAAATTACAGGGTAGCCTTCTACACGTAATGTATTCATGAGAAATACACACACACACAAACACAAGACGAGTGATCATTTGTTTATTACGGTAACCAAGTGGAAGGGAGGAGGGAGGGGGTGGCTTAGTAACTCTAGGCTAGCCACCCTATTCACTCCCCCTAGACCAGCCACTGCTATCTATCATTATTCATATGAGCATCGAGCGAAGTCATGGTTTTCACTTCGAGGAGGTGGTTGAACATACAGTGCCTACCCTTCTTCTAAGCTCTTCCACCTCTTTCTGTCTGATGTTTGTCATCACGTAATGTGTTCCTGATAGTAAATGCATTAGATTAATACATACATTAGACTAATGTATTGAAATTCAGAATCAACTGAGTCAATTCCATCACTGGTTTTATTTTTGCATTTATTCAAATACAAGGCCCATACAAGATCTGAAAACTACGTCCCGCTAAATAGCGATATCAAACAGCAGGCTGACCATGAGTTGACACAGACAGAAAGTAGCACATGCGCAAAATACAGTGTATAAGAAACATTATGATGAAAAATTCATATTTAAGCAATCTTACCTACGAAAAAAAAAAATGCGCACAGCAAGCAAGCTTTGCCAAAGATCTTATAAACACAAGATAGCGTTCTCCGGGATTTACGCGTGCAAATTCTGTAATAAGGCATGAATGGCGCCCTCTTGCTAAATTGGAAACTTTTGACCCTTGACCGCTCTGATCTGACCATACAGTACACCGCCTGTGAACAGTAGAACAGGAACCATCTCAGATCCATGGCAACAGATAGGACGCCCTCTTCCAAAACTTATTACTTTTTCTCTTCGGCAATAGCGCATGAATGGCGCCCTCTTGCTAAATGGGAAACTTTTGAACCTTGACCGACGCTTCTATTTGTTACACGTAAATCGCGGAGAACGCTATCTTGTGTTTATAAGATCTTTGGCTTTGCGCATGTGAGCAGAGAGGGCGACATTCGAGATAATACGATGAACATGGAATTGGAAGCTGTACGACTAATTCAGTCAATGAACGAAAAGCAAGCTCGTGCAATGGACAATACAGACATCAAAAATTAATATTTTTCAAATATTTCAGATTGAGTGGAAATTAGTGTCAGATCCAAGAATTTTAAATACAGCCCAGCTAATATGTTACATTATAATAACATTATAACGTTGCAGTTTGATGCGCAAAAGGTTCGGAGACAATAAATACGTTATAACGTAATTTCTGAATAAGTCACGTTGCATACGTTGTCGTAGCGTTGTGTTAATTTCAGGCATAGGCCTAATCGAAAGAACAACATTTCATGGACAGGCACAACGTATACTCAGAATTTAAATATAATTTTCTTATTTTTTTTTTTAATCCGCCCCTGGCAATTATAAAAAAAATATACATTATATACAGTTACAGTATATAGCGGCTGTTAAAATACAAGCTGTTTGCACTTGCGCTGTAAGCACTGGCATATCTCTACGTCCACCACCCCCCCCCTCCATCAAAAATACTTGCGCCCCCAGTCTATCAAATTAAATCACTGTCAAACAGTGTTAAAAATCACCTCAATTCACCTTATCTTGCGAGCTAGCGCCTCACATAATCATCGATCATCCGACTTCACCTTCACGCACACCCCCATTCCCTTCACGCACCCCTCCCCTTCCCCCATCAATTCCACCATTTCATGACTCTTAGGTACGTCACTGGCCTGTAAGAACTAGAAATTGGAATGATGGGAATAAAATCTGACGTAAGCGAATGTGTTATATCTAGGTTTTGGAAATCGTCCCATAACGTATTGGTTTTAAATTGTAAATGTAGCCTAGACCTAATCGATATTGTTAAAAAATATTTACAATTTGACTTTGCATTTTTGTTCTCTATGTCGAATATTCATACATAGATTTATTTATTGTTATGTTTGATTAAAAACATTTTCGCTTGAATGCCAACTAAACAGGTTTATTTCAATTAATTCTTTAACGCTACAGGAGTCATCATGAGCTTTACCGACAAATCAATGAAAACAATAATAATTATCGAAACCAGTAATGAGATCCATACATAGATTAGGCTTATGTATAGACCTAAATTCATTTGTTATTTCAAGTAATCCATGTGTTGATGCTGTAGATTCGCATGTCAAAATGCGTGTACAATTGTTATGGCTGTTTGTGTTCACTTGTATGAAAAAGGTTCAAGATTAAAAATTCAAGATTCCATTTATTGTCATATACAACATAGTACAGGAAATTTGTATTATAGAGCTAAGAATACACAAAATATACATACAGATTAAATAACAAGGCAAACATAAGTATAAAACAACAGTTAAATTAATATACAATATATAATACAATTAATATACAATATATTAATGTAGGTTTGCCTATTCTATTGCTTTGAAACAACTTCTAGACAATAAGAAGGCGTGCAATTAAAATAATTTATTATTGCTAACATAAAAAAAGAGAAAATTGTATGAATACTGTACATTAAGTTATTAATAATAACAATAATAAATAATTTACACAGCGTTTGTGCCTTGATGTACTTGAATTTTGATATGTCGCCCTCTATCACGACAAATTGTTCTCACAAAAGTACTACAATTATGATAAAACGAAACCGAAATAATTTAATATAAAAAGACTTAATTGTTAAAAATAACAATGATAAATATATAGTATTAGTCAAAAATGTAATGATATTTATATGATTAAATAAGTAATAATACATATGCTTATTACATGAATAATATAATAGTTAATCTGAAGTCACTTTACCATGCCGCCGTTCTCACACATCAGCATCCAGGGTCTTTTGCTGCTGCTGCTGCTGCATCGTCGCCGTCTGGCCGTCCACAACGCCATAACTGAAGTTTGTTTTTGTAACAATGGCAGATACTACTGGAAAGGTAAATACACAATTAAATTAGTTTCTGAGTTAAAAGTAAAGTCTTTCTTCTTTTAAAAAAATCTGTGTGCTATAGAAAAAAGATGTTCAGCCATTTTAGAAGGTGTGCATTATCTGACTAGGGCCTAGGCCTACCTGTCCTAGGCCGAATACCCCTAGGCCTAGGCTAGTACTAGGAGTCGGACCTAGGCCTAGGACTACCTACCCAATAAAGTCTTGCTCAATCAAAAAAGAAGTGTATTTTTAAGCCTGACCTAGCCCTAAGCCCTAGGGGACTAGTGGTAGTAGTAGTACTACTAGTATTGTAGCCTAAGAAGTAAGGGTCGTGTCGCTCTAGGCTATACCGGATATTTTATGGGCGCTAGAACTTTACTTAGTACTCCAGTATCCTAATCTTAACTGGAGCTCAATATCTCAATAATTCTTTATTGTCTTCTATTCATATAAAAACAGAAATGTAATTTGAACTGGCATACCATACATTTACAATTTTAAACAAAAAAGGCACAAGCACAACATCCATTAAAAAAAAAAAAAAAATCACTATTAAGTTAATTAGGCTATATAGAAGTAAATTGTTACTTAATTGCATGATAACAATAAAAATATAAATGATTTATTCTATAAAAATGATTATGTACAAATATGAATTTTTAGTAATTCTCATTAATATAATTGTTGCATTAATAATGAAATTTATTTTTACAGTATTTAAGTTTATGTTATACGTCTTAATAATAATTGCACAATAATATGACTATAAATATTATATGTACAGAAATTAATTACTGCTTTTTATGTATTATAATTAAAAATTTTATTAATACTATATATTATATTTACAAGTTTAAAATTTTACATCATTAAGATTATATTTAAAAAAAACAATTAAGGATTAAGATATCAAAAATTAATAAGTTACACTCGTATATCTATTGACCTTGGAGTTGTAGATATGGGCTGAATTTGGTTTAAAAGAATTTCTAAAATGTATTGTCCTTGTTAAGCTGTGGTTAAGGTTAGGGTTAGGGTGGAGTTAATGCCGTAGCCAGGATTTTCAAACAGTGTGGGACAATATCAGGGTGGACACAATTTACGTGTAAATTAAAATAATGTGGACCCATTTTCTGAAAATTTGTCCCATTTTACACAAAAATATGAATAATCTGGACCCATTTCTTAAAAAATAACCTATTTTACGCTAAATATGAGAAATCTGGACCCATTTTTCTTAAAAGTTGATGCATTTTACACAAAATATGAAAAATCTTGACCCATTTTTGAAATGTGAACCTATTCTTTGTGGACCCAATAGAAAAATTGTGTGGGACTGTCCCAATAGCTGGCTACAGCATTGGGTGGAGTACTAATAAAGTTGTTATGTATACCTATTAGGATACTAATCTATGTCTGTTTTTTCAGGTAATTACTTGCAAAGCAGCTGTGAGCTGGGAACCCAAAAAACCTCTGAGCATTGAAACAGTTGAGGTTGCGCCTCCAAAAGCAGGCGAAGTTAGAATCAAGGTGGGTTTAGTGAAACACGATCTAGCGTATAAACAGGCTAGGCCTAACATCTGTCGCAATATTACTATTCAAATGTATTAAAAATCATAAGTAATAAAAGGGAAAAAATAATTAAGGTGCCAGCAGAAATAGAAAGTCAACAAGAAGTTAGGAGCTTTTATAATGTAATATTGGAGTCAATGTATTTTTTATTCTGTTGTAAAGATAGCATTTTAAATTTATCAATAGATTTATTTTTAACATCACTGTATTCTATACTCTTGATTTATATTTGGCAAACATGCACAAGAATGAAACTAGTGTCAGCTAAATTGTGATTTAATAATTCAATTATTAATAATACAAAATTAACCCATCCATGACAGATATTTTTATTATTTGATGATAAATCCACACTGACAAATTTTGAGACATACGTGTTATGTGCCCATATATGGGCATGATGATGTTATATTTCTCCCAAATACGGGCATATCACATTCAATATAATTTATAGTATTGATCTTTTTCTATTCACTAGCTTAACGCCACTGGTGTTTGTCATACTGATGCATACACATTAAGTGGACAAGACAGCGAAGGCCTCTTCCCTTGCATCCTTGGACATGAAGGTGGCGGAATTGTAGAGAGTGTCGGCGAGGGTGTGACAAGTGTAGCACCGGGAGATCATGTGATACCTCTGTATATCCCACAATGCCGTGATTGCAAGTTTTGTAAGAGCCCCAAAACCAATCTCTGCAGTAAAATCAGGTAGACTTATAAAAGCAGTCAGAATATTTGATTTTTATTTATTACCATAATTACTATTAAAGTTATTAGGGAAACACAAATTTCGAGGTCGAAAAATATTATTTATAACATGGAATCTAACCCAACAAAATTTATATGTAAATATTCAGCAGTTAACTAATACTGTATGCTTTTATAAAAACATGCATTTTGTAATTATGCTGGTAACAGATCAATTCTAGGAATACCGTACCTAATGAAACAAAGAGAATTATGATTTTGAAGGCCAGTGCCTAAAGAGACTGTAACCTTGTCCCTTAAGTCACAGGTGGGCAAAGTGCAGCCTGCAGGCCACATGCGGCCTGACAGTGATTTTGTTGCCGCCTGCGAAAATAAATTTAAAATCCCTATGTGTTCGGCCCTCCAAATATCTTTGGCTAGAACACCCCTTCTTGTCTTATATGGCCTGACACCGATCATCTGTAAAAAGTAATATTAAAACTGAGAATAAAGTGGTATTAAAGCAGTGCGTAAAGGTTTTTTAAAGCACACTGGAAACATCAAAGTTTGGGTGTGGCCCTCAGTGTTAAATCAATAATTCACCAATTTTTATGCTCACCCCTGCGTTAAATCATGGTCCACTCCAAATCCCACAATTAGAACATCATGCTTTTTCTTATGAGTAAAGCTCTTAGAACACTGTCAAATTTTATCTGATAAATGTCTTTGACTTGCCCACCTGTATTACATTATTTGATTTGGGAATAAATACTTTTCAATTGAACCATTTAACCATTGTATATTTACATTATTATTTAATCAGTTCTGTATAAATATTTTTTACTTTCTGTCTAGATCCACCCAAGGAAAAGGAGTGATGCCTGACGGCACATCTCGTTTCACCTGTAACGGTAAAACTGTCTACCATTTCATGGGGTGCTCCACCTTCTGTGAATACACCGTTGTTGCTGAGATTTCTGTTGCTAAAGTAATTTCCCTTTATAAACATTTTTTCCTGAAAAGATTGAATGACATTTGTTTGCAAAGTATATTTGTAATTAAGTTAATTAGACTTAATTTATGTAGCTTGCTTCATTGTCTTATGAAAAGGATTGCTGGCTGGAATAGGTAATAGACTTATATAGCACAAAATATTAGGTCTCTATGGGCTTTCAGCAGATGTCCAGAAGAAGTTTAAATAAAAGAAACAAATAAGATGAACAAGAGAGACAAAGAAAAAGGAAACATCAACAAAAAAGAAAAACAATTAGATGGACTAGAAAATAAAAGTGATTTCTATTAGCATATTACTGGTCCTTCTGTCTAAAAATTAAGTAATATACTGTAATTTCGTTGACAACAGAACTGATCAACATAATTATTGTTTTTTTTTTACAAAATATTAAACTAAAATTATAATTGATTATAGGTCGATGAGACAGCACCTCTTAATAAGGTGTGTTTGCTTGGATGTGGCATATCGACTGGCTATGGTGCTGCTCTCAATACTGCTAAGGTACGTAGTATAACATGCACTCTCTCTACCTCTGTATGCTTTATTTGAATTATATCTTTCTACCCGTCTGCCAGGAAATCAACATTTGCTATCTGAGGTAGATTCTTCAGGATTTGGCAGTATGGAGTGTGCAAGAGTCCACACCACCTCAGCCCCAACATGACAAAAAGTTTGAGAGCATGGACCTCTACATGCTGGGAAATTACACTCTCGTACCTTACAAATCTTAGCAGTAATTCATATCAACTAGAAATTGCAAATTGCAAGTGAAGTGCTGCGAAGTACAACTGCATATAAATGTTCTTCGAACAAAATTATTTATGCGAGTCAAGTGAAAATAACCAATAATAAAAATATAACAAATAATATGAGACACGACCCATTGTCTATATTAGAACAGCGTTGGTACCGTGTACAATAGTGTTTTGCTGCAGTGACATCTCGCTGCTGGCGACTCGCTGCTGGCGAATCGATCTGCGCATGTGTATAAAATGGTATTTATTTCCGAAAACACTGTGTATGCCAGTCTACAACAAGTGTCGCCTAAATGTAATAAATAGCACGTTGAAATAGGCTAGTAAATAAGTTTAATTGGGTTCGTAAATAATATTGGCCTCAAAATATTGTGGCTGAGACATGGGCCGATTAAACGTAGAAATAGGAAACCTAGAAATATAGTAAAACGCTGAATAGTAATACTCCAGCGTCGCGACATGCGGACGTTGGTATGAGTAGGTTAGTCTACAAACGTCGCCTAAAGTAATTGATTTTACCCGGCAGAACGAAAGAAGGAAACTTTTTTTTTGGACAAACAATGACCTTTCAGAGGTTAAATTGCTATCAAGAATATGAATTGGCTGCTTCGCAGCAACAATACGATACTATTATTTTTCTTAATACAATTTAGTTGTGTGCGATCGCACTGTCTGCTCCACTTGCATCTACATAAACATGCAAATACTAGTAAACAAGATTATGAATATTATTATAAAACTTCAAGATCTGAAAAGAAATCAATGAGTTTTTAATACTGTATTGTCAATAAAATATTAAGAGTCAAAAGTTTCAGCATTTTAACTGCTATCCTCTGTGTTAATATTGTAAATATGGTACTTTTTCAGGTTGAAGAAGGGTCTATCTGTGCAGTGTGGGGAATTGGTGCTGTTGGGATGGCAGTTATCATGGGATGCAAGACTGCTAAAGCTTCCAAAATCATCGCAATTGACATTAATCCCAAGAAGGAGAAGTTGGGTAAGAAATTTATTTATATGCCTACATTACTGATCACTTTACATAATGACCTCACAAAACTGAAAAATCTCAGTCAGTCAACATCTCTATATCACACATTACTCAAGAACACAAGGGAATTAAACGCATTAGAAAACGGCAAAAGCAGGCCAGGCTGGAAAGAACTCAACAGAAACATTAGCAGAGCAGCCGAGGCGGAGATGTTGAATTGATTTCTCTGTGGAATATCATCATAGCATAAAAATGTTGATTCAAAATAACATGCAATATGTAAATAATGGTAAAATTATAATGTAACCATGGATATAATATTCATTTTTAAGCAACCAAGTACAGTGCTTTAGTTGACTTTTCAAAAAAATGGAAAATAGTTTTGCAAAATCTACATTTTTTGTACACTTTCAGAGGGGAGGGGGGTACCGAAAAAGAGTACTGTTTGTACACTTGTGAAAATTCTGATAATTGTGAACGACCCTAAATTAATTATTATTATTTTGTTTTACTAGTGTGTTACATTTCTATCGTATTTATATTCAAATTTTGTTATATTATGTTCCTTTCATTATTTGCTTCATTGTTTTATAATGATTATGTGTACAATTTTTATTTTTTAATTTACTATTTGTAATGTTTATGAAATCGTGTTTGTTTTTTTACATTTTGCGGGTTAAACTACTGTAGCATAGGTGTACTTTCACCAAGTCTTTTTGTCCACCTTTTGTAGTATTTTCCAAATTTTGTATTACTAATGTTGAATCTTTGAAAAGTGTGTTTTTATTCTCATCACAGCTCGTGAATTTGGGGCTACGGACTTTGTGAACCCAAAGAGTCTGGATACAGGTACCGTTCCGCATCTGATTGCCATGACGGACGGAGGTCCAGACTTTACTTTTGAATGCATTGGGAATGTAAAGACCATGGTAAGACATTTCAGTTTATTTAAATAATGGGTTTGTAGTGGCAACACAAGCGTCTGAAATCTAGGTGGTGGGTGGGGGAGGAAATGAGGGGCAAGTCAAAAACAATTTTCTGGGAGGGCACTGCCACTGTCAGTTAGTTTCCCCTTCATACCAATATGAAAAAAACATCAAGTAAAGAATTTGGCACAAAATCAGTTACTTTACTAATAATCTTATAATGAATAATGTATAGTTTTTCTCAATTTAAAGAGAGAGGCATTGGAGGCTTGCCATAAAGGTTGGGGCGTGTCCACCATCATTGGAGTTGCTGGAGCGGGACAAGAGATTGCCACAAGACCATTCCAACTGGTCACAGGCCGTACATGGAAGGGAACTGCTTTTGGGGGTAAGATTTCATGCAAAAGTGACTACTAAAACTATTTTGAATAATATGAAACCGGCAAAAATTTAGTTATAATTTGCAATGATGTACAGCCAAAGTTAATATCCTATGCATGTAATATAGGTGATTTATTATATGTAAATTAATGTTGAGCAGGGCAAGGAATATGTGCATGTTCCACACACGTTTAGCTGTGGTTTTGTGCAACCTTGGCAACAATATCTAATGGGCGGGGATTTGAGAAAAGATCTACTGGGATGGGACAGGGCAGAGCTTGTTACTTTCATTAAGTTTGTTACTCTAAATTAAATATATAATTTTTGATAGGTTGGAAGAGTCGGGATAGTGTTCCTAAGTTAGTAACCGACTACATGGCTGGTACAGTCAAAGTTGATGAATTTGTATCACACGAAATGTCTCTGGAAAAGATCAATGAGGCCTTTGACCTTATGCATGCTGGTGAAAGGTGAGTTTATTTACACAAACTGTCACTAGGTCAAAGGTGGTGTAAACAATAATTGCTAAGGATTATAATCATGGAGGTATTATAGTAATAATGCTATAACACAATGCTATAGTTTCACTACCAAAAACAGCTCTACTACGTAGATGTTGAAAGGCTTTTTTGCTCCATAATTTTCATATATAACATTCGACGAAATCTCGCAGTAAAGCCGGGCACTTACTGTTTTGTACGACCGTAGCACGACGAATCTAACTCCGTTCTCTTATCGTCGGTGGCAGTCATTAAAAACAATCGGCTGCTGATAGAATCCCGTCGGTCGACAACCATTGTGCGCAGTTTACATCAAATTGTGCTTGGCTTATTACTGATGAAACAGTTCTACAATTATTTTCATATACTCTTCAATTAGATATATTTGTGCATGCTCATTTGATCATATGGTAAGTGGAGTTCACTTCAACACAATGACAAGAGTTAATGAATGTTAAAAACGATCCGTTGCTCATAGAATCCTGTCCGTCGTGCGCAGTTTACATCAAATTGTGCTTGGCTTATTACTGATGAAACAGTTCTACAATTATTTTCATATACTCTTCAATTAGATACAGTATATTCGTGCATGCTCATTTGATACTATGGTAAGTGGAGTTCACTTCAACACAATGCCAAGAATGTGCTTGATTTATACACTACATATTTGTTTTTGCTTTCTTTCCAGTGTCCGTGCAATCATCAATTTCTGATGTCAAGAAAAGAGAAGACATTTGGACCAATGGATAACCATCATTTTTTAAGAGCGCCGATATATTATTCAAATAGCTTATATTAGGTATTGAACATTTTTTAAAAGCTCCGTCCTAAGGAAGATGATGAAGCATACAAAAAGAAACTAAAATAAAAGCCAAAAAGGTACAGAACTCTGTCTTTGATTTATTTACACCTCATTATATAATATTAATCCCTGTAAGTTAACAATACTGGATATGCATATTATTAGAAAAAATATTGTATACTATTGTTGTATCTCCTTCACAAATTAACAGACAAATATTTTCATTCCATAAACTGGAAATGGTAGTGGGCTTTTATAGTAAATACGAGGTCTCTATGAAATTATCAAAATGCTCATACGCGGTTACATACTGAAATAAAAGATAGCGGATACAAAATGTTGTCTTGTTTGATATTATTTTATTACATAACATGACTTCCATCCTGGTAATAAAATTGAATAATTGAAGATGTTCTAAGCAGACCTATTGTGAAGTTTCTTCTTTATCTAGTTGATCTAAGAAGTGTCCACGTCTGTTTAATTCCGGTCGTATAGTCAGTACTTCACATCCTGTCTCTGTCACTAGGAGAGTGTGTTCAAACTGTGCTGATCGTTTGCCGTCCTCGGTCACTGCTGTCCAGTTATCTGGCCATGTTTGGTCTTTCCACGTTCCTGGAAACAAAACATATGAGTAAGTGTTAAAAGCCGGGCACATGCTGCATCATAAAATCTCACTCTTTGCAAGCACATCTGCAAATTGTTAAGACAAAAAAAAAAAGAGAATGTTCCTGTTGGCCATGTTTTTGGAAAATCCAAAAAAATGGGTAGGTTGGTAGGAAAACATACAACCAAATATGCGTTTACACCTAAAAAGTAGAAAATACCCAAATAATTCAACAATTTTGGATTCGCATCTCGTACCATCCAGCAAAATAGGCTAGCCTCGCCAAAGCTAATGCAACTAATGGCAGACCGAGTGCATTGTCATTAAATAAATAATCAGTTGTGCGTGAATTATTTCCTCATATTCTCCACCGGCGCAGAGTGTGCCACGTGTGTGCCAAATCGATTTTTAAATATTTTTATATTCTCCACGTTATAAGCTTTAAAATACAATACTGCTCCACTAAGCGATAGTACACTAGTTCAGGATGTTTATATTTTACAATGGGGATTAATGCTGGCAAAATTTTAGATGACAGGTCTAATCACATGCTGCTTCAAATGCAAATAAGTAATGTTCAGTACAAAAATACAAAAATGTTTGTATGGTATTTTTAAAATTGATATTTGTAATCTTATTTCAGTTAATTCATGGCATTATGATCATCTTAAGTTTATTCATAGATTTGCTCGTACAAATGCCTTTAAGTTATATGGGATCGGCTTCCAGTTGATCTTAGGGATGAACTTTCTTGCAATATTTATTCATTTTAAGCCCTAAATTTTAAACATTGTACTTTGTAAAAAAATTTGATTATTTTACTGCAAGTCCTATATTTTAATCTAAATTGTACATAGCCTGACATTAATTCAGATTGTATTTTAATGTAACTGTACTGTGTGGAGAGCCCCTTGACAACAGACATCTGTTTTTGCTTTTGGGCAATCCAACCAGGCAGTCACGGTTGTTCCTTTATGTTTGTAAAAATTTTTTTTTTTTTTTTTTTTTATGATATGATACAAATACTGTACTCAAATATATCGATCAATCGTGAGTTACCTTTGCATGCAACAATGTTTTAAAGTGTGTCATTGCATGCTATTTCATGTAAATTCCGAGACAGATGTGTAGTCAAATCAATTATTATCTCATTTATGCTGGTATCGACCATTCTCATGTTAATGACTCGCAAAGAACATTACAGTATCAAAATATATGTAAAACTTGCCTTCTGAAATCATGGGTTCAATTGTGAATGCGTGTCCTGGTTTCATCACGCCAATGGCCTTGTTTTCTAAAAGATAATAGACAGAAGGATACTGATGTCATGAATAAAATAATAACAGTATATAATAACATCCCTACAAACATTTATTACATGGTCTAGGAACATAAGTTCAATTTTTGCTGCTGCTTTAATTTTTAATGCCAGGCTCCGGAGAAAAAACTATTTTTTAAATGTTTTACAAACTGATTTTTCTAAGACACAAAAAGCATATTTAATAAAAAAAATTGGGAGCGGTCAATGAGATACAGATTTTTGAATATTTAAAAACTGGGGGGGGGGGAAAGGGGCGTAACCAGCCTTCTCCCCACCCCCCACACTTTTTAAATACTCAAAAATCTGTATCTCATTATTCGCTCTCAAGATTTTTGTCAAATATGTTGTACAACATATCAAAGCATTTTTTCCCCCGAAGTCTGGCTTCAACTATTGTATTTCTTTTTTGCATTTCCATACTCTATGCCGTTTTCACAACCCACTTGTTAAGTTAAAAAAAAAACAGATTAGCCTATGCCTTGTATAATATACAAATTATCTAGCCACGCTTGCTGAGCTGCAAGTGAACAAAAAATCCTTCATAGCTACTGACGTCAGAAAAATGTCTCCTTCCGTTTTACCTCTGTAACAAAGTGTTCATTGCCATTTTTTTTTCTGTTAGCGGGATTTTGCAAAACTAACAAATGGATCATCATAAAGTTTATTGGAGCAGGACATATTAATCAAACCAAGAGGTGAATATATTTTTGGGTGAAAAGGTCATGGTCACTTAATGGTAAACAAAATAAAGATTATAAAATTGTGATGGCATCTGGCATGCCTAAATATGATCATGACTATATATGGGCATACAACAGTACTTTATGGTCATGATAACATCACATCATGACTATATATGGGCATATAGCAATTTTATTTATGTGAAAGAAAATTTGATAATCTGGACAGAAATTAAAGATAACTTATGCAATTCTTGATTGTTTTTTAATCAAGGATGCATTTTTACCATAATTATTGAGTTCCATTCCTGGTTACTTACTGGAGTAGTGCGGTACACTCGGTGCTGTATGAAACAGGCGGTGAATTCCATGCCCACAATACGTACGTACAACCGAACATCCGTTGGTCTGCGCATGCTTCATGATGATGTTGCCAAGCTCACGATAGCGAACTCCGGGATGAACTATTTGTTTTGTAAAAAAAGTACAATTGTTGTTAAGTTTTAGTTCGTTACATACTAAATCAAAATGGCTACAAAATATTACAACAAACAATACAAATTTATTGTTTCAACAACAATACAGGCAATCATATTTATTTCATGTTTATTATCGCTGTAAATATTTATTTAAATAAGAACTAAAAAAGTAATAAAAATAGTACACACTAAGTATGCCACATAGGCTTACTTCCTAGGCCTAGGTGATCAAAGGGCCAGTCTCTCAGCGTTGTAGAGGTTGCGTGTCATAAGTTACATAGCAACGTGGCCTGGAGATTGCACATCGCACGGCAGGGCAAAAAAGTACTACTGTATCCCATAGGGGAATAGTACTTTCTATGAGACTTTCTATTGCCAGCTTCTTAATCTATGTATGAGGTATATAATATATTCTAGGATGACAGAATCCTCAGAGCAGGAGTGACTATTTGGAAAAAATTTTAAAAAATTTCCCTAATTATTTGAGTATAGTGTTTATAACTCTGTAATTTATTAAATGCAAATTAACAAAAATGTTCAGCATTCTAGTGTCGAATTCAAACAAATAATTAAATGTTATAACCACTCTACTAGGCACAAGGCACTTATCTCATGTTTTGTCGCCACTCTGGTGTATAAATGGGTTACTGATAGAATAATAGGAAAAGTTGGAACAGAATTATCATGAGGAGGAGTAGCAATTTGGTTTATATGCATAAATTAATAAATTGTTAAAAAAAAAAATTCCCCACATATTTGAGTATACAGTTGAACTAACCGAAGTCCATTCCAAAATGACAATAAAATATTGTTCGACATACAGATCAACACAACACAACTTAGAAAGAGCAAAGTCGACTTTACACAAGTTAACTGTAGTATTTAAAACCCTGCCCAATTCATAATTTCAACTGCTCATGCACATGTTAAGGTCAATCAATATACAGTATATTATACATACACACAACATAGGTTTATTTCGATTTTCCTTGGATAACAGCTTTCCCCGGCCAAATTTTTGTGTTGTATACGCCCGAAAATAACCTCTGATGCGTTTTGGGCGATCACTTTTTCTTTTTTTCTTCTTCCCTTTTTTTGACTTTCCCTCAGCCCCTGGATAAGGGAATGCACAGTTCAAACTGCGAATTGGCTTAGAAGATAATTAACAAAAATCAATGTTGACTGCACGCAAATAATTCTATGTTGTAACATTCTCCTAGGCACACACGCAATTTGTACCCATTTTAACGCCAACAGCATTTCCAAAAGAAAGAAGAATATGTGATTGCATCAATAATCTATCATCGTAATGGAGTGGAGATGAATATGTAGCTTGGTGGTTAAGATGCTTGCCTTCCAATCCCTGGGACCTGGGTTTAATTCCTCTCATGGTAACAAGATTTTGCTCACGACCACAACAACTTCACTCCCTTAAGCCTTTTTTCCACTTGGGGAATATATTCGCGCGAATCAAAGGCGTTGGTTTGCTTCCTAAGCTTTTTTTTGCTTCAAAAAAGTAAAAATAGTTTGAACTACCAATTTTGCAGAATCGAAAACTCCCATAGAAATGTGAATGCTCATGTGCATGAACCGACGCTTTCGACTTGCATGAATAAATTTCGCAAGCTTAATACTTAGTATATGGAGAGCATCTCGTGTTTATGTTTGTCTTGTGAAAGGATATGCCACTTTGAATAGCGATTAAGTTTGCTGCTAGGCATATCCTTGGCCTTTCAGCCTAAACCAATAAAAAAAAATCAAAAAAATCATCATCAATCTTCATCATTCTTATGCTTCATTATCATCAATGTCTTTACCATCATCATGCCATCTATATCTTACTCCCAGTGGCATATCTAGAAGTCTTGAAATGGGGGTGCTGATGGGGGTGGGAGCTCGAAGGTCAAGTGGGGCCTTGATCAATTGAGGGGTGCTAATTTGCAAAATAAGGTGATTTTAGGTGATTTTTAAATACTTGACCGTAATTTTTTGTGGGGCATCTTGGGGGACACAAGTAATTTTTGGTGGGAATGCACCCCCCGCGCACATCTAGATACGCCACTGATTACTCCTAATTACAGACAGGGATTGGACCTGCGGTTTAAAAGCTGGCTTGGAGTTCTTTCCTGATTTTTTTCAATTACATCATTTGTTTTTGCACATTGGGACACTAGTATTTTGCGCAAATGTATAACCTTTAACTTTTAAACTTTTAACAGATTTTGTCTCATCACCGTTTTTCACCCTCCTGTATGTAGCGCTTGGGGCACTAGCCCTGCCTGTCCCAGCCCCTCTAGATAAATGTACATAATCACTCAGAAAAAGAAACATACCTGCATCTATAGCCTGCATTAGGCATTCATATGCCACGTTCACTAGTTTTTTACTCTTCTCATCAACCTTCCCAACAAAAAATGTTTCATTCAAATCACCATGGAAACCTTTGTAATAGACAGTTATGTCAACTGTTGAAGAAAAAAAATGGTATATTTCATGAAGTATTTATTTACTTTTTTGGTGGTAGGAGAAACTTTCATAAAGACCTGGTTTAGAAATATAACTGGTATGATTAAAATCGTAACGGTACTGGATTTGGTCTACAGGAGTTCGTGTTTCGTACAGGTCATTCCATTCATAGAAAAAGCCTTTAATGGTGAAAGCGTACCTGTCATTAGCCATAGTTGCCTAGGTCAATACATAACACCGGCTGTATAAAATTTATTATAAGATTGAAAATGTTAATCTTATTATTGTAGTAGTGCTACTATGTACACATTTTAGTTATTGTTATTTATTCATTGACGTTATTATATTAATATTAAAATTTAATGTTTTGTTCAAGTATGAATTACTATGTCCATGTTAAATTAATCTTTCTATTAAAATTGTTTATTTACATAATATAGTAATAGGCATAGCCAAGGTTTAGCCTAGACTAGCCTAGGCCTAAACAAATGACTATATGCGAGTGTATAAAATTATGAAAAATATGAAAAAAACGCAAAATTGTGAAAGAATAAAGGAAGAAGGATTTTAATCGTGCGGGAAATATTCTCAAGAAAAAAATGTATTACTAAGCCCATTACTTTTGAGTGAAATAGAAAGAGATTTTTGTTTGATGCAGTAATAATAATCATATTTTTGTTTGTTTATTATTTATTGCCATCATTATTATAGACCTATAGAAAAAGAAGCAAATATAAACAAAAAAAAAAGTTATGTTTTTATTAAATGTTTTTTAAGTAAATATTTAAATGTATTATGGTTTTTCAATTTCCTTTATTTAAACTATTTTGTAATTCATTCTATTTTTTTTATTCCATTATAGTAAAATGTCTTATCAACTTTTTGTTACACCTCATGTTTTATAATTATGATTAAATAAAGTGAAATTTACATCAAGATATAATGGCGTTAAGTTATTGTATACTTTGTGCATAAGATTAAGTGTTAATTGTTGAACCCGTCTATTAATATTTAAAATATATTCATCTGTTTAAATTTACATTTTGTGAAAGTATTCATTCTTATGCAGTAATTAATTTTTACACTTGTATTTTATATAGTTTTTATATTTTGTGGTGGCCCCTTCAGAAACAAGGATAGTCCAGGATCCCCAGTCTTCCATATTTCTTTATTTAATTTACTCATTCATTTACTATTCTTTAATATTTGTTTGTTATACATTAACATGTACACAGAAGCACACATGCAATAAACATTACAAACATACAACACATTGTTATGTCATGATAATTACTGTTTAAAATGTCCCCATCTTCTAATGGCCTGCCGTCCGGTATACCATGACATATCACTTCATTCACCGACCTGTAACAAAAACAAACAATCGTGACATCATATCTGTAACTCCTAATGTTATTTTCCTATCCCAAACCACACATTCATATCTAGGTATAATTTAACATTATTTGCAAATTTTCCTGTCGATTTCTTTTCTCACGACCATAAACAATTTCAAGAGACTTTGTTTATGACTTACTTTGTGTGCATGTTTAAGGATATGCACTTAATAGGAAAGAAATTAATTTTGCTGTTAGAAATATCTTTGGCCCTGGGTTAGGCCCATATTAATTGCTGAACGTAGGGGAATGAGCTGTTAGCTCATCGTGCTCTTGGAAGTTACAATGGCGTCAAGCCACCCAAACTATGACAATTTAGGGGTTTTGAAGGCTTATTAAATTGATGTCAAGTCATGTAAAAAATACATTTATTTTTAAAATTTTTATCTTCTCCCTGACAAATTGTGTTTATCTCTCTGATTGGGGGGGGGGGAGCTGTCCCCAACGGGGTCGCAGCCCCCCACCCTCCCCAGAATCCGAGAGCAGTAACAGCCTTACGTGCAACATGATTTTGGAAACTGGTGGTAGTTCAGAGGTGATGGGTAGCAGTTGCGTTCCATGCAGGCTTCATGCACGACTTGATCTATTTCGTCCGTAGTTACACCAACTTTAACTGCACCATACGCAATATCTAAAACCTCTCGTCCTAACTGAGAATTAAAATAAATTCATTAAAATAATAACAATTTACATGAAGTTAATTACATGTTTTCAAAAGCATTCAGAAAAGAAATTATGTACTCTTACAATGTAATAAATCAACGTTTGAACAATAAATAATTGCAGCTATAGCGGAGTTTTACCATTTCTTGCATTTCAGATGTAATTGAATACTTAGCTTGATTCCTAATATATCACAGTAGATATAATTCTAACTATGATATATGCACTGTGTTATATAAACATTTACTTGAGCTAAGAGGACAATTTGTTGTATACTCTTACAGGTTTATTTTAGTTAAGGATAAATTTTCTCAAGGCAATTTTCGATCCAACATTCTATTTTATGAGAGAACCTAAACAATTTGCAACCGTTGAATGTGCATTCAGCCTTGGCTTAAAGCAGTAGACAAAAAAAAAAGGTTGATTACTCTGTTACTCTGGAAAAACAACAAAAAAACAATTATACCAAATGAATCTTAAACAAGCACATGGTTTTAACTCACCCTGCAGGCCTCCCGAAGTGTAGCTATGTCATCTGAATTAAGCACCTTAATCTGAGTGCTGCCTCTCACGGCCATCTCACTTGCAGGGTAGCCTAGAAAACACATTAACACTGTAACTATAATTACAAGTATCATTTGGGTTACTAAATTCTAATTCATCATCATTTGCCATTAGCTGAGTGTTTAGCTATGTGGTAATGTCCCTGGCTTTGTATACCCCCTGGTTCAAGGCCTGGAGGCTAGAGACGTCGTCGAGACTTGACTTGCTTTTGGGTCTGATCACTGAGCTTGAATAACTTTCATACGAGAGGTGGGTTAAAGAACAATGTTTGTATCCATTATATATCTGTTGGCGCTGAAGTGAATAAAAACCTTGGGTGGAATTTTAATTTTTCAGTTAAAAATCCCTCTATTTATCGTACCTTTATCACTATATATTCAGACTAACATATAACTGTCAAAAACTATTTCATTATTATGTTCTTGTATTCTATTTTTTAGACTAATTCTTTGAATGGTTTTAAATTTCTCTCCCTTAATAGTATGTGCACATGTTACTTGCAATATTTATGAGTTCATATTATTTTTGTACATTTGCATTTTGGTCTGATCACTGAGCTTGAATAACTTTCATACGAGAGGTGGGTTAAAGAACAATGTTTGTATCCATTATATATCCGTTGGCGCTGTACTGTACAACACCAGCATAATACAACTTTGTGGAAGTGAATAAAAAACCTTGGGTGGAATTTAAATTTTTCAGTTAAAAATCTCTCTATTTACCGTATCTTTATCACTATATATTCAGACTAAACATATAACTGTCAAAAACTATTTCATTATTATGTTCTTGTATGCTATTTTTTAGACTAATTCTTTGAATGGTTTTAAATTTCTCTCCCTTAATAGTATGTGCACATGTTACTTGCAATATTTATGAGTTAATATTATTTTTGTAATACAGCGCATATTGAGAGTCCCTGGAGCAAATTGTACATTGAATCTTGAATCTTTTCTTTATAAAAAACATGTCAATGAAATAATAAATGTCATCAGTATTCTATCAATATCGGTATCATCAGAATCAATACTTTAACTTGCTTTTCATTAATTCTTTGTGGCCCAAGGCCGATTTCATCGAATAATACTTGAGTTAATAGTAACACAAATTACTGTATTAATGATAATCTTTTGTGTTAAGCAAATGAACTTCAAGACTAATCTATTTCAATATATGAATTGTTTAATATATTTACATATCAGCTTGGAATTGGAAAAAAGAAAAAAAGGGTAGAATCATGCATCATATAATTGGCAAGGAAAAAAATACATAACATATTGTATCATTAATGATATTCTGTTTACAGTATGTTGAACTAAAAAATTAATTGATTTAAATTTTGAAGATGTATTGTCCCCTGTGTAAATGACAAAAAAATCATAAAAAATAATTCTGAAATTAATGTAACTTTCTCATTTTGCAGTAACACACAAATTATTAACTTGAGCACAGAAATTATTGAATTTAAAAAATGTGTACCCTGATTTTTTACTGGATAATAATCAGGCCCGTATGGGGAGGGGGGGGGGGGGGAGGGGAATTACAAAAGGTCCACATTTTCCATGGTAGAAAATTCGAAAATCACTTTCACACATTCTATTCTTAACCAATCAGAGCAGTTTTCCCCACCACTTGCAAACTCATCTTCCTTCTAGGTGTCACTAAAATCATCTTTATTCTTGCTTGGAAATCATCTTGATACAGCAGGCCCGGATTTAGACATTTGCACCATTCGTCATGGCGAATGTCAGAGCAAGAAATATACAGTACACAAAGAAACTTAAAAACAATACAGTGTCTAGACAATGTGATTGTCAATGAAGCTCTAGATCCTCCAAACAATGTCCATCCACAGCAGCAAAAAAGAAAATTAACACAGAGACGCAATTCGAACTCGCAACTTTCGGGTAAGGTTGCGAGTTCGAAACGCGTCTTGGTATTCAATTTTTTTTTTCCAATTTTAAGAATCTGGGGAGTCTCTGAGGGGTTTCTGGCGTTCCAGATAACATAGCTACTGGTCAATGCCAGCTCGATAATTTGGTTTTTTTTAAATACTTTTTACAACGTATACAACTTAATTTTAAAATATTATTTAATCTTGTATCATTACCGTTGGAAAATACTTCCCTAGAACCAACCTCTAGCAAAAACAGTGAACATTTATACAACCTTTACCATAGTCTCATTCAACCTTAACAATAATTTAGTTCAATACTTCAATTATTTACTATATTTAATTTATGTGATTTCAGTTGAAAATAAGATATATTATAATGCATGCATCTAATAATTGGCAGGAAACTTATTAAATGAATGCTACTGAGTACAGAAATCCAATATTGATTTTTCTGTTCCAAGATTTTTTAGCTTACCACAGCCAGTACGAGTTGTTCATATTATTTCTCGGAATGTTTTGATATGTAACCAAGTTCCTGAATAAATATTGTACTAGCTTTTTTGTTTGCTGTTACAGCTGTTTCGTAAATAAAATAAAAAATACTGCTGTCAGTTACGTTCTTTTACTGACAATTAATTTATCAAACGAGAATGATTCATTATATTAAAAAAAGTAGCAAATTAGTAGGAAGAAAACTAGAAATTCTAGAATTATCGCCATTAAACGGCGATCATTAAACATAATCATGGGTTGTTTTTTTTTTAAATGTCACATGGATTGCTTCTGCGTGCTTTGTTATTTATTTTTTTGCACTAAAAGTAACACAAAATATAGTTGACTTTTTAAATATTAATTTTCTGTTTAATATGTTGAATGGTTCTAAAAATTAAATTTAAAAACAGTGATAACTTAAAATGAAATATCACATTTATCTTTTCAGATTTTCATAGATCTATGTCCTTTTACAAATACATAAATTAGCCATGTTTTTAACATTTAGTATTTAAATTTTAGTTTAGTTTTATTTTATAATTTTTTCTCTGTGCAAATTTCCATAGATCAATGTCCTGTTATAAATATGTACATTAGCTGTGTAAATTCTTGATTTTTATTTTTGCTACGATAGGGTAGGATACACAAGACTAAAATTGTGTTCATATTGGATTAATTTTGACCAAGATGAATGGTAAATAAACGTACAGCAGTTCATACTAGGTTTAAATAAGCAATGGGTTTTAAGATAGTAAGGTTTTGCACATGCATGATAAGTTCAATTGTGGCAAGACAAGCCAAACCAGTCACTCGTCGAAAATTGTGTTTCAGAGATAATGGTCAAAACATGCTGGAATGTCAACATTTTTTTAATCTATTTTATCGCACTAAACTAACCTTTATATATCTATACATCATGCTATGTTGTTATTTTTCCCATTTTTAATGTTAAAACAACAATTTTTAATGACTTATTGATAGTTTCTGCCTGAGAAATGCCTAAAATCGTAAACTTTGAAGGCTGATTTTTCAAATATTGTTGTTTATACAGCTGTATGTTTAAACTTCATAACAAAATGTCGGATTTAAATGATTCTTTTACCATTTTATAGCTTTCATTTTACTGTTTAAACCTTTATTAAAAACTAAAAATCAATTTTTGCAAGGAGTGACTGGTTTGGCTTGCCTTTGCCACAATTGTTAATACTCTCTGTGGAAAGTTAGGGATGCACTATACACGTTAGCATGTGCTCAGAAACATTTACCAAGTTGAGGCTAGCTGTTTGCATTGAAATTTTCTGTTTTAAGAGAAACAGCCCGGTTATTTTTTCTGGGCAACGTTTCCTTGGTCAAATTTGCCGTTCATCTTGGGTTATTTAACCAAGATGATGCACAGGTTGTTCACACTGAGTTTTTTTTTAGTCAAAGTGACTCAGGTATATGGTTAATGTTTAACCAAAATTAATCCAATGTGAACACGACTTTAGAGACAATTATCACTTGAGCATCTACAGTATGAGTGATGTGCCTGCCAACCACTGCTTGTCAATATCAATCAATCAACAATGATTTATACAGTATAGCACCAATATATGCAATGTTCTGTGACACTATGACAATAGCATACATTACATTACAATGGCATACATTATATTATTATTAGTGCAATCAACTAAAGGTAAAAAGTACGATAATATTGGTCCATTTGCATTAGGCAAGACTTTTTTATACCTCGTTTCGCAAACTTACTTTTTTAAAAATCGGAAAAAATAAAACACTTTTATTGGTGAATATAAACAGTGTAGTAATGGGATGGATAAGTTCTTTAAATTTATATAATTAGGAAGAAATATACATATCTTATTTTTGGAGATTTTAATTACATTTTTTTTCTGAAATTTCCATTTATTCGTGGCAGTGGGTGTAATAATTGGCCAAAAATAAAATTTAATTTTTTAATCAAAATCATCCATATTGGCAGGCGGTGGGTTCGCTAAACAAGGTATAAAAATAGTCTTGCCTTGTAGTCTATATCAGGGTTTCATGGAAGAGTGCTTGGTACAGCAGTTGCTATTGCTCAGTCTAAAAATTGAGGGTGGTGGTTCGAATCCTTGCTGTGAATTTCGCTAATGTCTTTGGGCAAGGCTCTTACTTAATGGTAGTTTGTTTTTACCCAGTAGTATAAATCGGCTCGAATTCATTGATAACTAACTGCATTGTGCAAAGAAGTTTTGGAATTATGCATTATATAAATGCAACATCACTCAGTATTATTATGGAATTCTTCCCAAAGGAGCTGAGTATGTGTTCCATGGTGTTTGATCAAATAACCAGGTAAGTAGCATGAAGCCCATAAAAGCCCTGGGGGGCATGATACACTCTATAAAGCCATATAATATATATAATCAGAGTTAGTTAATTAGATCTACTAAAATAAATTACATAAAAAAACCTAGCTGGGCATGATACTGTATGCTCTATAAATCTGTATATATAATCAGTGTTGGTTTAATTAGACCAGGGAATTTCACTGTTCCCTGATTAGATCTACTAAAATATAGATTTGATTTATCTTTTTATTTTACAGTTCAATAAGACCATCTTTTATGGATTATAATTATCTTCAGCTTTTACATTAACCATTGCCCTAAATACAAAATTTATAGACTTTTTTCCGTAAAAGTAATATTATTGTTAATGTAAATTTTGTTCATCAGGAATTTCTTTTTGACAGTATTTGTTTTACAAGTTTGGACGTCTAAAATTATAACCTGAGTGTAGTGAGGACAGGGTTCAAGAAAACTACTTTACCTACCATTTACATGATCCGCGTAATCAGGTTTTTCTATATTGGGCAGCACCATCCTTTTGGGAGACTACAGAAAAGAAAATAGTCATTAAAATTTACAATATTATCATATTGAAGATTAATAATTTTTAAAGGCATCTATTGCCAGCATACAGCACTCTGTACCCACCTCAGAGAACATTTACGGCTCATAGGACCAACACTTATGGCTCATAAAATAGGACCAAACACTCATGGATTATAGAAACAAACACTCATGGCTCATAGGACAACAAATGGCTCATAGGATAGGACCAACACTCATGGCTCATAGAAACAAACACTCATGGCTTATAAAACAAATACTCATGGCTCATAGGACCAACAATTATGGCTCATATGATCAACATGTATGGCTCATAGGATAGGACCAAACACTTGGCTCATAGAAAAACACTCATGGCTCATAGAACCAATACCTATGGCTCACAGGATAGGACCAAACACTCATGGCTTATATTACCAAATACTCATGGCTCATAGAAACAAACACTCATGGCTCATAGGACCAACACTTATGGCTCATAGGATAGGACTAAACTTATCTTATCATTAGTTAAGAAGTAAACCCATCAAAGCAGCTGGCTTACTGTAGCTTGATACTGTACTTACAACAGAATGAGGTCTCAGTGTTCCTGTGTAGACATACCCCGGCCAGAGGTTTTTATACTCAGACTTTGCTAGGTGATCCTTCATCCTTTGCTTTTTATGTACAGCTTTATGCGTTGCCCAGTTGTCTTTAAAACATTCCTGTATGAAATAGTAAATCATTGAACTTGCATTCGCCACACAATATTAATACCCACTTACAATACTTTCAGTTGATATTCCAACAATTTCCAGAATAATGATTTATGTCTTATGTTTTACGTGGCATCATAAAAGCTAGATAATTTGTACCATTCTCTGTACTTGTTTAGGGATGGCTGGTTGACCCAGAAGTATATGGCCTACCTCCATGCCCCTTTTAAAGAAAGTAGGTTCTGTGTCTAATACTAATACGTTACTCCAAATCAACCCGGTGCATAGATGACTCAATGTTTATTGGGACACCTCCGATGATGATGATGAGTTCGGGCATCAATATTCCATAAAATGTAACGACTTGGACCAGTATGCTTAAGAAGATTGAAGCTTCAACTAAAATTTTATGAGTGAGAATTATTATTGTGCTTTGAACGAAAGTTCAAAATTTCTCTATAATAATATTCACAACACCGATGAATTTTGATACCAGAATTCCTTTATGTGGTAACAATATTCAAAATAAGATTAGGCATATAAACATTAGTAAAGTAATTACCGTATTTATTCAAATAAACGCTACACCTTGAATAAACACCTCTCTAGAGCCTAAAAAAAATGCCTCCCTAAATGACAAATCTAATGGAACATCATTCTCAACACAGTCAATGTTCTAATCCAGTAGAATTACATTTTTATTTCTTGGTTGTGATCAATAAGAATTTATAATCACCCAATAACATGCGGTAATTATGTGTAGTTCCACATTTACAGTCAAATTTATTTGAGTATATATGTATCCATTTTACAAAAAAAAAAAAAAGTCTCCCTCGAATAAATGCCTCCCTCAAAAACCTTTCTTAACAATAAGCGCCCCAAGGTGTTTATTCTAATAAATACGGTGATTAAGTTTACATTTGTGTTAAAAATACTTGTTTTTCCAATCTCATGGTTCTGGGTTCAACACCCTGCAACAGCTGGATTTTTCTCAAACAGATCCACTTTCTAAGCCTCATATTTTATAGAGACAGAGTAAGTCGCTGTTGAACTAAAGTAAATAATGTACTTGCAATTTGTTGAAATTGCATTTAAAAGAAACAACTGTGAATTCTCTTAAGGCTGTGTTCTAGATCATTATGTCCCTTTTCATGTGTTGTTTAGTACAGACTGGTTCTATTTCCAAACTTAGAAATTAAAATGGGAATTAGTTTCATGAACATTTGTTAACAAAGAACAGTACAATGTACTTTACCATTAATAGTAACTGCTTAACTGTAATTTATGAGGAAACATTTGGTGCATGATAGGAATGTTACTTGAGTTTAAAAGCACATCCAGTTGTTTGATATGGCTTGAAATTTTAGTGTCAACTATTTTCCCCAAACACTTCTGTGATTCTTAAAAAATGAGAATTTCAAGCACTAAACTTGATATTTTAAGATCATTATATAAATGACATTTGGACAAAAAGAATAAATGGGGGGAGGGGGGTGGAAAATACTAAATGCACATTCAAAGGTAAAAGCCACACATTTGAGACCATCTGTAAGCACATTGAATATAATTAACTACACAATGTGTTGCACTTTCTCCAACAATTGCCATTTTTACTCGCAGTTTGTAATTCCCTTTCTATTATTACACTAAATTTAATTCCATGAAGAACATTTATCATCACATAGGATGCAAATTAGATGACAAAGAGGTAAATATATTACCTCTATAATTAACTTACCGTATACTATAAATGCTAATTTAATTATTTATACAGATATTAATTTAAATTACAGATGTTAATTATAGTTTTCAGTGACAATCTTGCTTTGAAAGTTCTACTACATTTTGACTCATCTTCACTGATAATGAGACTAACGTAATTCTATATCTCGAATCAGGCAAATGTTATTGTATTTTAATTACATTGATGATTTAAAGCTGCAAATGCATTGGATTAATTACAAATCAACACCCTGCATAATATTCTTGTCAGTCAAATTACCTATTGATGTGTGGCTAGTATAGCTGTGCGACATTGCTGTAGAAGAATAACCAGGTCGATTTTCTTTAGCAGAAAAATCCAATGCGAATAGCACCACTCGGTAAAACCTAGCATCCCCTCACCTAATCATCAGGAACTCGACTTCACCTTCCAGTCCCCCTCCTGCCCCCAATTCAAGACTCCTAGATACGCTTGTGCCCTGGTCATTGGATTCATAATGGGCACGAAGTGTAATGTTTTACCTGTCCACATCCTAACACTTATTTAAGCCTAGGTGGAGGAATCGAGACAAATATACGCAAAGTGGCTTGCCCAAAAACATGGGCGAAATGCGCACCAAGATGTTTGAACGTCTGAACTCAAAGTTACGAAACTGAACCGCAACTACGCCATTGCTCACGCAATCTTTAATAAAGAGCGCGCCTCATGAAGACGTGCATTAATTTCAAAACGAGCATTTATCAGTGATAGTTTTCGAATGACAGATATTACTTAGAATAACGATCTTGTAAAACTGAGTCAGCGAATCCTGAGGCTAGTAAACCTCTCTTTCAAAAGTATATTTTGCCATTAAAAGCAACAAGATGTCAAATGCATCTTCGCTCATTTCAATGTTTGAGCTACTTAGTGGGCCTAGAGTTTTCCGTACAACATGAAAAATTAAAATTAAATGTATGATACAACATGAATAACCTAGTTTTTCTCAAGCTGAGTTAAGTTGAATGTTTATTTTATCGACTGTTAAGTTATAAGTGACTATGAACACTCTAGTTCCTGTTATTCAAACTATGTTAATCACCTTAATAACCCTTTTATAATTTGTTTCACAAACTTATTGTTAGAAAGATTGTCAAAGGCGTGCGGAAAAAAAAATAAAAATAACATTTTTCTTATTAAGAAAATAGTTATTAAGAAAATGTTATTGGTAAATGTAAACAGTGTATATAATCAGGAGGATATCTTATTTTTGGACATTTCAATGCAATGGCGAGTGTAATAAACTTTAAAAAAAAATTTTTTTTTCCCTGAAATTTGCATTTGGTAAAAAAAAAAATGTTTATTTTTAATTCAAAATCATCATTATTGGCGGGTGGAATGTTCGTAACTAATTCCTCCATGGCTAAACAAGGTATACAGTTAAACTTGCCTAGGTTAAGTGGACTTTGCCTAAGTTGAATAATTTCTAGTTGATCTAATTTTACATGCCATATTGTTGTGTTTTCCATTAAGTAACAATCTGTAAATCGAATGTTATCTAAGTCGAACAATATCCAAATGGTATTTTGGATTCGACTTAGGCAAGTTCAACTGTAAAAAAAAATTCCCCCTCTTATTTTTTTAAATAATAAAAAAAATTATTGTTAGACTTTTGAATGACATTTATCAACTTTTTTCTGGTCTTTAGTGGCTAAGATTTGTGTGGTGGTTCAAGAGCATTTTTCAATCACTGGTGTAAGTGTTGCATACAATCACAGCAGAAGGACCTGCATAATGAAATTACATTAAAGTATCTACTGGCCAGCATCCCCTAACCATGCATTCCAATATATCAGACTACGACTTTAAAAATTTAGACTGCCCAATATAAGATTTAAAAAAAAAAAATTTATTTATTAAATTGTTATGAAAATTATCAAATTTCCTGATGAATTAATCAAACCTGACCAAATTCAGTCCATGATATTTTATTTTTCTCGCATTTTACCCAAATGATGGGCCTAATTGTGGATATTTTTACAGCTGTGAACAAGCACATGCCCATTTGTCTTGTGAACTTGTAACTGATGGGATTTTTTCTGACGTTATGGAATATTAACTGTGTTTTATATCTAAACAAAAACATGACAGGTAATAGAAATTTTAATAATCACATAAATAAGGATTAAAAAACTTCCAAAATCACATTAATAGGGACGTTTGATTCATGCGACAACGCGATGCTAAAATGGAATCGCTCATGTGTGACAGTCCTACCGAATGTCCTACATTTTTTCCCTACGTAGATTATTTGGCCAAATTACATCCTAGAATCCACACGACGAGAACTTAACGGTTTCGCATGCACAAATGATTTTTAGTGATGTCATTACGTTCTACGTCCTACCATCGTTGTGCAATCAGAAGCTACACATTAAGGATTGCAAACAAAAATGAATGGATCATTAGGCTTTGTCCAGATCAAATTTTCTTTGACAAAATACTGTTGTATGCCCATATATAGTCATGATGTGCCTATATATGGTCATGATGTGATGTCATCATGACCATATTTAGGCATGTCACTTGTGACAGTCTGGACAGGGATTATAAAATGATGTTATGATAGACAATGTATCTACGATAATTTTTTTACAAATATTATACATATTCCTGAAATGTGTAATTTCTTCCTTTTTATTGACTTCTAATCAACTTATTAATTGCATTACAAAAACAATTTACTATTCAAAATATTTAATGTAAACTATCTAAATCTATTTCATTTGTTATTTACTAATTAAAATACGTCCTTATGTATACCATGGTACAGTGTAGTAAGAAAGGACAAATCTTTTTTTTTTTTTTATAGAATACAGTATTATGGTTTTTCTAAATCTATTTCATTTGTTATTTACTAATTAAAATACGTCCTTATGTATACAATGGTGCAGTGTAGTAAGAAAGGACAATTTCTTTTTTTTAAATAGAATATTATGGTTTTTGTGCATTTATCATGCATGCATTGGGTTGGGTGTTGGTAACTTAAGAGAATACAGGTTCTAATGCGACAGGTTTTATTGTATTGAAAATGTATTAAAACAAGCACACTGTAAATTAATCTTGACGGTATCCTTTACAATACAGGAGATTTGCATAAACAAGTTGTACAAGTGTAAGTCCATGGCAGCAGATGAATATTTGCCCAAACTGTAAATTACTGATTGCTTTTTATTTTCGGAAAACAACAAAGATATTGAGATAAAGGTAAAGGTAGGAGAATAACCCAATTTCTCAAAGTGTCATTGCGCTGAAATGTGGTGTGGTCTCTGATCTGGCAGACATAGATTCAACAGTCAACCACGTTTAGGAATAGGCTTTTAAAGAAATAAACTTGCGGTTTTTTTGTTCAATTCTGTTGTCAACTACATACAGTGAATCAGAACAGGATATAATATATATCGTTTATTTCACCAAATTTCAATTTACAAATAATGAACACAAAAATACAAAAATACTCAGCAGTACCTCGTAGGATTGCTCTAAAGAGGGCAGTGCCAATCTGTCAGAGAGCTCTCCATTACCAACTGAGAAACAGATGCAACGGAAATATTTATATTATTATTTGAAGAGCACTTCTTATATATAATATTATTATTACAATTAAAATCATTTACAATTAAAATCATTATCATAATAATTATCATTTTCAATTAAAATTATCATAATAAGTACAGTATCATAATTTCAATTAAGACTAGAATAAAACTTGTTGAACCTTTCAATAAAAATTTTGCCAGATTATTTCATAACAGGAATATCAAAATTATCATTTTTAAAGCACTAAAAAACAATATATAAAAAAAAAATGGTTTTATTACAATTAAAGATGTATTGTCCCATGCTAAATACCATAAAAATATTTTTTGAAATTAACTTGCCATTTTGAAGTAACATAAAAGTTATCAACTTGAACATAGAAATGAGTGTATTTAAAAAATGTCTACCCATCAGTTTACAGCGGAAAATGATAGAAACACTTCCAGTCACTTACAGTAAAGTGTTTTATTATTTTTATTATAATTTTTTGGTTTAAAAATCAGGGTACACATTTTTTAAGTTCAATGATTTTTATGCACAAGATAATAATTTGTATGCTACTGCAATATGAGCAAGTTAATTTCAAAATTATTTTTTTATGATTTTTTGACATTAGCAAGGGACAATAAATCATTAAAATTTTTAAAACTAGGACTAGATTTGGTGGAAATATAGTGTGACAACGTGGTAATTTGTCAAAAAGACAGGGAAATTAATTGACAGCTGTGTAAACCGAAGTGCATTAGTTCTACCAAAAGAGTGTAGAAATCTAACATTATCATTACATGAATGTGAATTAAGAGCTTTGACATGTCAACATCAATTTTTTTTATATAAACTTTTAGCAATATATGAAATTAAAAGAAATTTAAATCGATAGAGAATCACCTTCACTTTTTTTTTAATACATTGAATTTGACACTCGGCACGGTGTCCCGCTATTGAACCCGTTAGAAATAGCGCGGTATAAATGATTATAGACAGATAGATAGAGATAGAGATGTACTTAGTAGATTCAAGTTTACATTATCAGGCTAAATATTAAACCACAGAATGATGGAATGGGTGCATTTTAAGTCCATCTGAGAGACTTCTACCAACACAACTTAGGGTAAGAAGCGTATCAGAACAGTGCCGATGTCACTGTAGTTAGCAACACCTCTGCCTTATCACTTATTAAAGCAAACTTTTGACACAAATATTAAACACAATTTAAATTTTAATCAATTAATTTTGTGACTGATTTTTAAATTGTGTCTATTTGTATGTTTTTTTATTCCAATTCTCTTTGCATATTTTGTATTATCCAATCTGAAAATACGACAGCAATAAAGTGAAACATGAACTATGAATTACTTTGTTTCATCATGATATTCTGATGATAGAGGGAGGGGGAGGGGGAGGCGTAGAATATTGATTAAGTATGTCTTAAAGAATCAGAAATTTCTATCTGACATAAATTCAAACTACAGTATAAGTGTAATTACACATCTAATATAGAATACCTTAAACCACCTCTTAATGGACCTTTCCACAAGTTCCACTGGACATGGCTAAGGCCCCAGGCAACCCTAAACTCTGTTACTGGGCCCCAGGCAACCCTAAACTCTGTTACTGGGCCCCAGGCAGCTGTGCTCCCAGCGGCTCTGCAGGGCATCTAGTGTTTCACCTGAGATGAATCCACATTGGATTGCAGCACTTTAGCATTTCAATTTATTGAAACACAAGCTCTATGCACATACTATATGCGAATATGTGCTTGAAATCTTATTTTACAAATTTACACACCTATGAAAGTACTGCCTCAATAAATACGGATTGTATTTTATACAGAATACTGCTACTTACATTACAAAGGATTTAGTATTACTAGTTTCATTTCAGAGTTATGGGCTATGGCAAATACAATCAGTTTCAACTGGTTTGAGATGTGACATACATATATGATGCTATAATTCCACTTGGTGAGATGAACATAGGTTCAAAATGATCCATAGGAATACAACTGCACAACGTCTTAATCTTAAGTAGGGAGTGGATTTTAATTCCCCAACATACATGCAAGTCGATGGGCGACTGAAGGAGTTGGGTATTCTATTAATTGACGCAAGGATAGAACTGTTTTCTCTCCGTTAAAGCTTGCAACTTGTTTTTATCCCAGGCACTCTGTATTGTTTAATCTTCACCATAAATCTTGAAACCTTTATGGTTGTTTTGCTTGCTACATTTTTTTCATATTCTTTCTTTCTATCTGTATATGTACTGTAGTTAACAATCTATGATATACTGTATCACCACTAAAAACAGCAATCTATTTTAATGTTTCAAATTAATTTTTGGTAATCTGAAAATGTGAAAGAATTTTTTCTCTAGCAAGCTTTGTTATTGCATAAAATCATATTTTTAATACTGTTTTAATAAACTGGTAATTTTATATTAACAAATTTGTATTTTCTAAAACGTTTCAAACTAGTTACGGCTACAGTAGGTTCAATGCAATATAATTGTTGAATGCAGAAACAATTTTTGATAGACTTTAAATCAACTGATCTTCACAGGGTCAGGGTCTTAGTGAAATAGATAGAAAGAACTTCCACCTTAATCTCACCAGCAGCATTGCAGCCCTAGTTTGAGTTTCTGTATCATTGTGGTTTTTTTTTTATGTAATTTTCTTTTTCATACATCTTTTATTGATTATTTTTGCACTATGTTTTTTCAATGAGGAAAACCATATGTTGAATTTTACAGACATAGTAAGTGTACAATTATAAATATTTAGGAATATAAATTATTATAAGTCAATTGTGACACATTCACTTTATAGAGTAAAACTTCAAGCGATACAGCGTTTCCGAATTCCCGTTGACCCTGCTTGCACCACTACTATTGTGAAAGTCGAATCATCTGTCTGAGTGAGAGGCTCTCAGCTGAGAGAAAAATCATGAGTGAAAACATATGCTGATCCAAGGGAGGCCCAGTGGGGGACCTTCATTGAGAGGATTTACCCACCTCAGCCTGACTGGGGCTGAGGTCAGAAATTTTTACGATTACGGCACCTCTAAATGGTGCCATAATATCTTAATATTGAAAATTGCAATTTATAAAGTTTATTTTGTATTGTTAATGGCATTCTCAGACATAAATTTGAATACAACTTCTTTCTCTCCATTGGGGGGAAGGGGGTGAGCTGGCTGTCACCCCTTCCCTTGAATCTACCACTGAAGTAAAAGAAGCATTTACAAATGACACCATAATTACCTGTGAGCAAAAATATGAGCCTTCGATACCTAGTTTAATGCACGTTGGACATTGTAATCGAGATTCTTTACCACAACCATCTGTTTCACATATCCGAGCACCAGTCGACATGTTTCCTTCTCAATAACAGTTGATGACTCCACATTAACTTCAATGCCTTTGTGGTGGTGGTGGTGGTGGAGTTTCTAGGCCAACTAGGTTCGTCGGATTGTCACTTGGTTGTTCTTCCTATAACAATAATATTTTGGTCTTATTTAAGTTACTGTATCACATACTGAATACAAAGGTAACAATTACACACATAATGCTCCAACGATTTTACACAAGTTGGCTAAACTTGCTTGACCCAGCCAACCTTTTAAACTTCATTATCTCTATTCTTAATGCACTACTACCCTGTATACTTACACGGCATGTTGGAGCTACCCAATTCGTTCTTTCTATCATGGGGTCTAGCCTAATAGTACAGTAGGCCTTCCTACACCTAGAAGTGTTTTGATGTGCCATTTATGTATAGGCCTATTTGTATTAATTTTTAACCATTTGACCTACCTATTAAATTTATATTTATGTATTGTATCAATGTATAACAAACTTCTTCTGTATTACTATTACTACATATAAGGCAACACTTTTTCTATACCTTGTTTTCCAAACTTAATTTTTTTAAAGATTGTCAGAGGGCAGAAAAAAAACCCACATAGTTTTGCCAAAAACATCCAGATGGAGGTGAAAATAAAAATAAAATTTTATTGGTGAATGTAAATCAAATCAAATCAAATCAAACTTTATTTGTCCATTAAAACACAGGTAAAATGGAAATTCTTTTTCCACTGGCAAAGAACATGAAACATCAAAAAAACATTGTAAAAACATTCAAACACACCAAAAGGACAACAGTGACTAAAATTTGGAAAGTTTTCAACAATTTAAACATGGTAGTAATGGGATGGTTAAATGCTTTAAATTTACATAAATTAGGAAGACATATACATATCTTATTTTTTGGAAATTTCAAGGCAGCGGGAAGTGTAATAAAAAAAGAAAAACTTTTATTTTTTTTTTAAATTTCCATTTTTCATGGCGGCGGGTGCTTTAATTGACCAAAAAATAAAATTTTATTTTTTATTCAAAATCACCATTATTGGCGGGTGGCGGGTTAGCTAAGCAAGGTATATAAAAAAAATCTGACCTAATAAAGTATCTTATTTGTCAACATCATGAACCCCTGATGACTGTCATCGTCCTCAGCCTCTCGGCTAGGCTTCTTACTTTATGCAGCTGTCAGTTTTATGACACACCATTGGATTGGATTGGATTTATTTGGTATAAACACCAAGGATAGCCCACAAAAGTTATTTCCGGTGGGGTCCTTCTGGTGATGATTGGCCAGTACACCGGGAGACAATCCTACTCTTTTCCGAAGAATGTACTGCGTTCTTTAACGTGCACATGGGCCATAAATGCACAAGGGACCAACGGCTTAAACATCTCATCCGAAAGACGGTGCACTATTTTAACTTGTATTGCAGCCCTTCACCTGAAACACAAGGAGAGGCAGTGATGGGAATTGAACTGGGGACCTACATATCTCCACGGTTCAGCGCACACACAGTGGCTACCACCGGATTAGCTGACTAAGCTACTGTAAGCTGCTCTCTATACGACCCCCGGGAAAGGCGCTTCATGGTTGGTTCATTTACCATGATATTTTGATGCAGGTTACGTACATACAGGCCCACAGAGAGAGGCAATCGTAGAACACACAAGTCTGACTTAAAATATGCTTAAAAGGTGCAATACTCAGGAAACATTTTCATTTCAAAATTTTGATTAGCAATGTTTGCTAATCAAATTGAAAACTGAGTAGCAATATCACATTTTTGTATAGCATTTTTTCCCCCAAAAAATTATCATCGAACTATTATGATTTTACAACATTCAAGGTCCATGCAGGCTTCCAAAAAGAAATTCATTCAATAAAAGCCCATGATGAAGAAGTCCCACCACTTCAGATGATGAAGATGAACACAACATTGCAATTGATATTAGTTAAGATTATTTTGGACGATAGAGTAAATTTACATTTTAAATTCAATATTCTTTTTGTATGTATACAGTATTAATTATTGAAGTATCAATGAATGCTGTTAATTTGGAATAATCTATGTGAACATAGAGAAAGAACTTTCTCTATGATGTGAACAATAAAATTAATAAAGTATATAATGATGTCACAAAAATACAAGCGTTATTTTTTACCACCACAAATAATGGGGATGAGTTGACTGGGCCATGACGTCTGGGGATAAGTTAACATTGATAACAATGATAGGACAATAATGTTATCAACAGAATAAAAATGTCCTGATTATATTGTTAAAAAAATTAAGGTTGAGTTGATCAAGTCAAAAGTTCATAAGGCCTACTGTACTTGGCCGTGGTCAACCGACACCGAGGAATGTAACTTGATTCACTAGGCCTATTTTTTGTGTGGCAGACTTGCTTGACATTAATCGGCACAACATTACAGCAGATTACAGCTCTCTTGAAACCAGCAGTATGTACTTACCTGATTGAAAACCATTAATGCTAAAAAGAATCTTGCTTGCTGGTCCTATTTAATAAATTAAGTACAGTATTTTTAAACGAGATTCAGGCCTAGCACTACCCTATCTAATCGTCATCTTGTTTATAATGCTGACAGGTTCCCAGTTGATAAGCTTCATTGCGCACCATTTCTAAACATCGACACGCCATATACCACGAGGTTGGGTTTGAGCGTGAATCGAATGCGGCGGCGGGTGGAAGGCCGTTCAAAGAGAAGAGCCTGTCTGAGTGTTCTTTGATTTTCTTCCGACTGCATTGACACGCGTGGAAAAAAAGAATCTTGCATGCTGGTCCTATTTAATAAATTAAGTACAGTATTTATAAACGAGAGTCAGGCCTAGCACTACCCTATCTAATCGTCATCTTGTTTATAATGCTGACAGGTTCCCAGTTGATAAGCTTCATTGTGCACCATTTCTAAACATCGACACGCCATATACCACGAGGTTGGGTTTGAGCGTGAATCGAATGCGGCGGCGGGCGGAAGGCCGTTCAAAGAGAAGAGCCTGTCTGAGTGTTCTTTGATTTTCTTCCGACAGCACTGACGCGCGTGGAAAAATAACTGATAATTTTCACAGCAAGTTGTAACCTAGCAACAAAGCATGGTTGAAGTGATTGAAAAACAATACAAACACAATGAGAAATATTTTATTGAAAACGAATGACAACTAAAACATGTAAGTTATAAAACATTCGGAGGCCTACGTCTGGCTAGGCCTAGGGCCTAATGTGAAAAACAACATGCAGGGATGAGGCTTTTCTTGGTTCGCAATGTTGTGCGACACGGTTTTGTAAATGCGTAGCAATTGTTAATTATTGTGTAGCTCTTTGCGATGCGATACTCTGGCGAAAATGTTCCCTGATACTCTTCAAGACAACATGATTAGGATATGTAATAATGTACAGTCAAGGTCAGTAACATTCACGAGATGGTCCGTCACAAAATAATTTCTTTTTCCATCAATTTCACACAATGGTCTGTCACATTTTTGACAAAGGGGTGCATCATGGCATGCATACTGTATGTACGGCGTACATTAGACAATGCACCGATTCGTGAAAAAGGCCTATACTACCCTAGCTAACGCAGCCGTCAGTTTTAACAGGAGTTGGTTTTACAACTTTTAAGAACATTTTCCTGGAAACACTTTTTGGATACGACGCCCCGTTTTTATGGAGTATGATTTTTTAAATAACATATTGTCAGAAAATCAGCCAAAAAGCTTATCTTGTTTCTGTTGGTTACGCACCGCTGATTCGCAATGCCAATGTTTGTCATCACTTCATGATGTCTACCGATTCGTGAAAAAGGCCTATTCCTAGCCTACCATAGGCTCCTGCCTGTACTAGGCCCTCCTTGGCCTAGAGGCGGCGTTATACTAGCTAGCCTAGGCTAGTAGGCCTAGCCTAGGGTCTAGGCCTTAGCTGGCTAGATAGGCCTACCTAACCTAGACCTAAGGCTATGGCCAAGGCCAAGTAGGCTACACTAGGAAGGGCCTCATTTTCATGTGTTCAATATGTTGAACAACAATATCTAAGCTAGGCCTATAGACAAACAACCAAGAATATGCATATGAATATGATAATGGTAGGCCTGGCCTAGCTGTATGTTTCAGACAATCATTTTTTTATAATAAAATACAGCCAGGCCTAGGCCCACGACTTTAGACTTACCTCTCGGTCTTCCTACGCCGCACGATGTCCCCACGATCCACCATTAACCAACCAACACGCCATTACATTTGTTTGCTGGTTCGGATTCAATATCTCATCATAGGGAACTTTAAGCAACTGGGGCGCACTTTACATTTTAGTAGAATAGGTGAGGTTTATACATAGAGTAGTATTATGGGTTTATATTAGGTGAAAAAACAGCCTAGGCCGCTCTCCTGGCTCTCAACAACAATATTATACTATTTTCAATTCGTTCTTATCATCAATATTACTTGTTTACTTGTTTCCCAAGAGATCTCAAAATGTTTGCCTTTGCTTCTTTGATGTTTTCGATAGATAGTTGGTGCACTATTGTCCGAGATGATGAGTTTTTTTTTTGTGATGGACGAGTTTCCGTGAACTTGTAAGCCTATGCGTTTGCAAATGTTTGTAGTTTGACAATAATTTCATCGCCAACTGCTCATCATCATCATCATCATCACCTCCACAGCGGCCCATGTAGTTTAAAAAATACATTTTTTTTGCAAAAAAAAAAACAAACAAACAAGAAAAGAAGTGCAACCGATCCTAGATTTTTGAAACGGTCGAGCTTTGCCGTTTATAAATGTCTATGTACTTAAACGTAAAAGACTTTCGTTAATTGTTATCTACAGTATAATTATATTGAATTAACACGTACTTTTATCTAAGCAGATAATGAATTGATTAAAACTGTAGTTTATGAAGTCGTAATAATTTATTTTCACACCAACATGAATAACTTATTCACTCACTTTTTGAAAACGACAATTAGCTAATGGAAGTTTTGTAACGTTGGTTTCATCAACGATAGTTTCAACCTCCTTTCTTTGTCTGACGTCATGGGAAGAAGGTCGACTGTAAGTAATTGCTCGAGTAGGCCTATTTATGTAACTTGTGCTGTTTATAGACATGATAATTTCGAATCACTGAGACAACGATTATCTAAACATAAATCTGTCACTTTGGAAAACGCCGTTAATTAATGTATTATGTTCGAAGACTGGATTTCAGTCAATGCACCTGTTCTGTAATCGTATGGGGTTCAAAACAATAATATACCCCCGTAAACTATGATGGCCCGGAGGTGTAGGCCCTATTCCGAATTTATAACGTCGATTGCCTATTTATATCATGGAGTTATAATTATTTTAATTTTATAACTCCATGTTTATATTGAGTTTAAAAATAGTTGTATGACAGGGAGTTTAAATAACTCTTAATTTATAGATATCAAACACACTGATGCCGCACGCATGCAAGTTCCAAAAGTTCAAAAAGAGTAAAACAAGATGTTAATATTTTATGACGTTACCCTATGACGTCATGTGCACTAAGTTGAAGTTTATGGCATTATGAAAGATGGAGATCAAAACGCCAGAAAGACCAAAGCAGTATATTCAGTACCTGCGTGAATATTTCCTTCTGACTGCAGCTTGAAGACGAGGAGAATGACAAGACAAGCTCCAACAAACCAAGGTCTTCAAACAGATGCATGAGGTCAACCATTGACATCCTGGACAGAGATCATCAGGAATGAAGAGAACTGCAGAAAATGACATACCAGTGAAGACTCGACATCCATGGGCCGTAAGCACAGTGGAGATTTGGCCATACCCTAAAAAAACCTGCCAGCAACGGCACCAGACAAAAATAGAGTGCAACTTTTGGCATGTTTTGTTTCGGGCTTATGTTGCACAGGGAGTTGAAGGGGAAAATATTATTATTATTATTATTATTATTATTATTATTATTATTATTATTATTATTATTATTATTATTATTATTATTATTATT